TCCTTGGAGATTATCTTACTCCCACCATGGAGGTAGAAGTCTTCTACCTCCATGCCCCCACCGAAAGATCTGCTTGGAGATTATTGTTCTTACCCCGGCCCAGATATTAAAACGGGACAATCCCTGCTAATTGATAACTAATGACTTCCCGCCACTTCGGTGCTGTCTTGTCACTGCAGTCATCCCGTCTGAACGTTTTATGGACCGAGGGTGACTCCATAAACCCGCCACGGCTCGGGACATGAAGACAGATTGGGGGGTTGTAAAACTGTCGGCGTGAGTCGGACCTGGGCGGGGCCATCGTTAACGTTACATAACCACCCACAGGGGAACTATCGGTCAATCTTCAAGCAGATGTCTGGCGGCAAAAGCATTGCGCTTTAACAGAACCGGCCGTCTAGAGAGAGTCCTCAACCCCCCCAGACTCTGTCTGACAAAAATGGATAATGCCTAGCCAATTTGATCCTGTTTTGCAACCACCGAAAAATCTGCTTGAAAATTAGATACAAAGAACTTGTTCCGTGACTGCGAGTGTATGTAACCAACGACAATTAATAAACAGATTATTTCAAATACTTGCCACGATTGCCCCATACTTGTAGCCTGGAATCCCGTCCTGTTAAATTTGCTCCAACGACGTTGGGAGAGGACCAAAGCTAACAAGACGGCATTCCAGGCTACCATACCTGTACCATTCAGAAGATCAGGAAAAGTCTACATTTCTACTAAGATCACAAAACCCGCTCATTATGCAAAACACGGGACTATTTATCATCCACTGCCTTCAAAGGAGAAGTCAAACCTTGTAATAGCAAACGTAGTTTGTAGTATCATGTAAGTTGGTCAGACAGAATGTGCATGTTCTCTAATGCTTTATTTTACCTTATTTGACCCCGCAAATGCAATTAGCCTTCGGGCATGATTTTACAAATAAAGAGATAAAACCAATGATATAACCCAGGAGGCTCGCATGCACGCCGTACACAAACCAGGGCGAGCGTACGGCGTATGACGGTATGTGATCGACCCACACGAAAAAATAAATAAACAAAAATAAACAGAACAAAAAGAAAACAAAAAAGTTTCAGGCCCTGAAGCCTACTACTAGTATGCATATGCACCGTAGCACACCCACCAAACCTTTCGCCTCGTTCAATTACTAATAGGAATTTTAGTATCGACGTTACCTTTGTGTGCGCTGACGACAAAGACGTCATCATGAAGATTTATGTAGAGATGTATATTTTTGTCACAAAACGCCATATTGTTTGCGTGCGCGGGTGGCACGTGCGACAAGACATGCCGAGACGCCCCGGGAGACAGATCACCTCTCGATAACCATCTCTATCTTATCTAGTCAGGCAGACAAGATACATACGTCATTATAAACTAGTGTCAACCAATCTGAGTTCTAAGCAGTTACTCATCAGTCTTGTCGGGTGACATGGACGCTTTTGTCTTCAAGGCGTTCTTCAGATAACTAACTAACAATGCAATCATGTATTAAACAGGCACGATTCTTTTATTTAATCTCCAAGCAGATCCTACGGTGGCAAGGAAGTATCCATTGGCCGGAGGAATGACTACTGGCCCCCGGTGCATGGCTAATGGGTACAGTGTGGCTAGCCAGTGGTCACTCCTCTGGTCAATGGATACTGCCTTGCCACCGTAGAATCTGCTTGGAGATTAAGTCTTTTACTTCGATGTATCAAACTCTGCTAGGTAAGACTGAAACTAGTCCGTTGTATTAATTCCTTCAACCCTAACTGAAGCTAGCGCATAATTTCATACATACCAAAGTGGCTCAAGCTAATTCAAATAGCACTGAGAATAACGATGCTACTAGAATCTTTATTTCTATTCGTGCCACCTACAACGAACAAATTAAATAAATTCTCTGAAAACCGGGCTTAAATGAATGTGAGAAATCATTGATACATCCTGTATGTAACTTACTGCGTTTGACACTGTTTCCGACCAATCAGAGCTGATGTTACAAACTAATGTTGTTGGCTATCAGAGACTCAACAGAGACGAGGTAAATACCAACCACCTGTTGGATTGCACCTTGCTTTTCAGAGGAGCTTTATCATTGGAGCACTGGCTGGCAGATGTGCTGATAGTCTTTCTCATGACTTATTGGCAGAAGCAAAGGCTATATAAAGACCATAATGGTCCGACACCGCGTTGCAGACTACATCCTTTCCGACACAACATTTGAAAACTACAGACGGGGTGTCATCCCTACACGGTAACATGGCTTTAAACGACACATTCTCGATCTGACGCTCTGCGTTATGCATCAGTCGCGACGTTCTGTCCCCTCTCTCCGAACTGCCAAAGAAAGGGAAGGAAAGTAAAGGGAAGTGATCTCAATCCAGATAAAGGCACGCGTGTCCGCCGCATGGTGGCGTGTGGAAAAATGTTCCTCTCCAAGCAGAGGTTGATTGGGAGGATTGTGACCTTCTATGTACCGTTTTCTCACTAGCACTAAAGGAGCCTCTTTTACATTTATGCTGCATATACGACGTGTGTGTGTGTGTGCACGTGTGTGTGTGTGTGTGTGTGTGTGTGTGTGTGTGTGTGTGTGTGTGTGCTTGCGTGCGTGCGTGCGTGTGTGCGTGTGATGTGTCTGTGTGTGCGCGTGCGTGTGTGTACATGTGTGTGTGCCTTTGTATTATCAAACTTGCCAAACGTAGATTTAATTATTGAAGGCACATCCGTAGGCAGACTTTCCTCTATATCATAAACACAATTACAACATCTCTTTCATGTAAACTAGTATCCTGATTTTCCAAAACGTGTTTTTTTTCACTTTTAAAAAATGAGGCATAGTTCTGTCAGAAAAAATAGCAGTGTCCTTTCTGGTATAAGTATTGAAATAAACCAATACAAAGAATCAAAGGACAATTTACAATGTTATAATACCGAACAGTTGAACTGGAAAACGACAATGAAGCATGATGAAGGTAATCTGCGTATAGAAATTTTGTACAACAAAGCTTAATCGATTATTACGTATAATTTATGATATCTTTCATTCCCCGTAAGT